TAGTGGGTATTACAAGGCATAGACGGTGTACGACTACAACGCCCAGACGGGTGTGTAGTCAGAGCGAATCAATGTTTATGAAGTATGCTACGTGCACAGATATATAGCTAGAAATCCGAGATGGTGTGTATCTGACGCAGGAAGATCTGCAATGCAAGTTGAGTTTATGGTTTGCTCGTGCTTCCTAGTGGAATAGAGCATTTTGTCCTCCAAGTCCCACGAGCAGAGTGGGGTCCGGATCGACCAATTCGCTAAATGGTGCCAGATTTAAAGCTCCGTGAGTCTTGTAACTACCGGATCTGGACTATTCTTCTCTACACGTATGACCATTTCAATCACAGTGTAGCTGTCCATCTCCTTCGCACCGGTAAATCCCATCTACATCTACTCCGCGCTGCAACAACTTGCGTAGTGGGGTGGTCTCATCTTGACGGAGATCGCTTTTTCACTTGGAAACTTCTCAACGTAACAAGAAAGATGGTTGTATCCATGGTTCCTAGCTACCTTCTGAACTTGCTGCACTTGTGCTAAATCTCTCGTATCCTGACAAGTACCCCCCTTCCTCATGCTACTCGTCGCGTAGGTCACATGTCGGCTGACATTGAAAGTGCGATCATTGGGCTAGCAAGCAGCCGCCCAAAACGCCGCAAAACAGCAGCGGAGACCAAACCCAGCGACAGACTGCGCCTCTCCAGTCGGGTGACCCGTGAACGTAGTGTGCACAAGAATGGATCATTGACCAGGAGTCTCTCTAGCGGCGGTATGTATATGCCAGGCAACGGTGAGTGCGTGTAGGAAGGTCGTTGTATAGAGGAATAGGTATCTCTGAACCGCAGTAGGTACAACTTCAATGACAACAGGTGCTGGTCAATACAAAGTGATATTAGTAGATGGGCGGCGGATGTTAGTCAAGAGAGAGATGTCCGTACGCAGTGCGCGGTAAACAGACTGAAAGATGGAGAGGGCTAGAAACAATGCTTTGTTGATAAGGAACATGTTGCGCGTTCAGTTAGGTTTGCC